ATATATATATATGATAGAGTAATGATCCTATGAGATCCTCCCACACCCAGATGTCTAGGACTTCAAAGTATCACCATTAAATTTGGCACAGATCTATAGAAAAGTCAAATCTCACACCTATTTGATAACTTTTTTAGAGATTTGTATTTAATGGTGATCCATTGAGGTCCTACTCGCCTGGATGTGAGAGGGTCTCATAAGATCATTACTATATATATATATTCGTTTTTTATAAGAAGTTTAAAGTTAGCTGAACTCTCCCAAGTTACTCGGACTCGGCCGAGTGACACCCCTTTGCCAGGATCCGAGTACCTTGACTGAGTCTTTTTTTTTTTTCTTTTTTTTTTAGCATTGGTTGGTATTTTATCTCATATTTTAATTATTTTCTAACTTTCTCCGTCAAATATTTATCTCTTTTTTTTTATCACAGTGAAGAAACAGAATCATCATTGACATGTCTGGCCTACATGCATCTCAAACAAACTGAGTTACGCAAATATATAAAAGACCTCTCAGCAAAAAGCAATGCCATTCTATGCTCCGGACCAACAGGTAAGTAAAACCATTCCGCTTTCTCTCTTTTATTCTTTTTTTTTTTTTTTTGTAACATTAACCTTATTAATCGTTCCCCCTCTCTTTTTTTCAATTAATAAACACAGTTACAGATTTATATCTTAACTAACATTTTCCTTTCATACTTCATTTCAATTGCATAGATTTTTTTGTTTTTTTTGCGTGAGTAGGAATTGAACTTAGGATGAAGTGACAATGACTTAGTGTTGTTAGCGTACTTCTATTCTAACTTAATCAGGATTATGGCCTTCAATTGTTATATGTTATTAATTTGAGATTCTTTACAAAGAGAATATTAATCTTTTGTATATGGAGGTCACAATCATTCTCACTCATTGGATGTCAAATTGGGCAGATGGGAGTGAGTCACGAAATCCGAAAATTTTTATTATGAAACTTTGTGTCTATTCAATAATATTCTTACACCCATTTTCTTTTTAAAAAATCCCATTAATTTATCTTCAAATGGTATTTCCAATTTTTGCTTATTACATTAAATTGAAATTTGAGACCCCTCAGTATCTTGAAATAATCAAATTGTCATGCCTTTGGTATTTTCAAAACAAGAGGAATACAAGCAAGATTTCCAAGCATTGGCTAAAGTTCTCATTCGTAGTGTAATATGTTGACACTAATAGAATGATGGGAAAGTATAAACTCTTAATGCAATGGGCACAAATGCTGTATAATTGAGAAGTATAGTTGTATTTTACCTAAAAGAAGACAACTTATAGTGCTTATTCCATCAATGGAAAAGGCTCCCTAACTGTATCAAGCAAAACATAGGGAAAAAAACAGAAAACAGAAAATAAAAAAAGAAAGTTGCTCAATGGTGTTAGCCAAGGGAGCTTTGAGAAATTTCTTGCAATTGAGAAACTTTTTGTGCTTAAAGTTGTCGAGTTGAATTGAGGCTATTCTTAACAAAATAATACTAGAAAATATGGCGGTTTGGGATTTTCACAACAGCGTCTTAATTCATTGCTATTAGTTTTGTCAACTAATACTGTTAATAATGTTATTGGGGATATTTGTGTAATTATATATTGGAGGTTCACTGACCAAAAGTGTTTTAGATGCAATATTCTTATCACCATTGTATTGTACTTGGTGTGGTTGTAAATATTATTAGCAAAATTAGATGTGAATAACAATCAAGTAATTACTCTTTTCAATGTTTAATGGGGACACTTGATTTGGTGGGACTACTTGATTAATTGCAGAACACCACCAACTAGCACTTGCTATGGCCCTTGCCCATCACTTTGAAGCCAACCTCCTCGTGTTTGATGTTACAGATTTCTCCTCAGAGGAAAATGGTAAATTTCTATAGGAATATATGAAAATTAGCTATTTGTTAGGACTTTCTTTTTTTGATGAATAAAATTAGAAACTTCCAAAAAAAAAAAAATTTATGAATTTCTACGAAAAGCTTTAGAAATTTGTAAATACTTGCTAATGTAATACAACACTCTTGCATATGAGGCATTAGACCTCTAATTATGATAATTAGTTTGTTGTTCTATAAATTGTCTAAAAGCGATACAGTAGAACCCCCAAATAATTGGTATTTTTTATCTAAAAAATCAAATTTAAGGGCATAAATTAGCTTATTCTTTTGATTATTTGTTGTTTACTATATATTGATTATTGTTGTTTACTATATGTCACACTTACTCATGGAGGTAACGTACACCATGTACTGAATTTTGTCCGAAGGTCTTAAAATTTTTATGCTATATACTACACATAATTGTTGCATCTAGTATTTTTTGAAAGGTTTTGTATTATTTTCTATTTATTTATAACAAAAGTCAATTATCTCACTTTTTTTTTATTTTTTTATTCTTTCTAAAAGACTTCTATGAATGTTGTATGGCTTGCAGTCACAAAACAAATATGGTAGCAGCAACAATAGTGGCAAAGTTGTAAGCTCCATTACTCTATTTTTTCATTTTCTTTTGTTGATTGCTTTGCTTGTTTCACTATTTATTGTTTAATTATAGTCTTCTCACATTAATGATTTATTCATTTTAATTCTTTCAGCCCCTTTCAAAGTTGACATCCTGGATGAGGCTTGATTGTATATCTAAGAGAGATGAGCCCGGTGTCAGGTACACATGGACATAAATAACAACAACAATTATATTACTACTATAAAATAGTAGGGCAGTGATTAGTCCTAATATAATAGGATACAACAACCTTTAAAGACCATGTTAAGGCTATTTTATTTGATCCAAATTTAGAAATATATACTCTTTTCATTCTAATGAATGATCACAAAAAAGAAAAATTTAAAAATGCAACCTAGAAAGTATTTAACATAAGCCATCCATTTTGGTGAGATGCTTAGATCTAGGCCATAGAAAGATTTTTTTCCTTTCCAGTTTTTTAAGATGGTTTTATTATCATTAGATGACCAATTTAAAACAAAAAAAAAAAAGGATTTTAAGCTTGTAAAGGCTAAGATCTTGAAATTCACCAAATGAATGGTCTAGATTCATTGTTGGAGGGGACTCATTTTGACCATATCTAGGCTTCAAATTGAATTTCTTTTTTTTGGGATTGATTATTCAGATAAAGTGAGTGTGTATGCAAAATTTTGAGTCATGCAAGTATCACAAACATGATTTTCTAAAAATGTGGTTGCATTATACCATGATACAACCGTCGCATGAAATCACTGCCCAAAATAGTAGAGAAACATTTATTTCTTTCTTCAATAAATTGTTTTACTAGAATATAATGTCTAGTGAAAATGGTAATTCTTTTTATTCAATATACACTCTTCATTTACTAAGCCCGTATTTCCTTCAAAAGAAGAAGATGTTATAAGTGGTGAATATCTTACAAAATGAGATAATTGGTTGCTTCTTCTATGCAACCCCAAGTGCCCTCTCGCATATGTTTTCCGGTAGGTTAGTTGGGATTGGAGCCTTAGATATCAACTGTGACTCACCGAGCCGAAAGCATGAGCCCCTCTCCTTTGGATACCTCACAATAACAAAATTATTATCTCAATATTGAACTTCCATTAAATTTGGTTATTTAAGCTCATGTTGGGCATCTGATGTTAAACTTCCTTTAAATATTGTGTTTTAATTTGCTCAACGGCTTGATGTTTACAGGGGAAGTGCAAGTCAAAGCACCGGTACGTCAAAGTTGAACTTTCATCACCAGGTATTCCTTCAAATTCCCTTTTTTTCTTTTTTCTTTTTTTCTTTTTTTTTTTTTTTTATAATGAACAATCCATTATAGAAAGAGAAAGCAGTGCTTGATTCTTTTATTTCATGCAAAGTAATTTAAAACTTTTAACAATATTAAATAGGCTTTTACTTTGTAAGTTTTGTAATTTTGTCTAACTACAAGCACATTGGACACGTTTCGCACCAACACAGGCATCAACCCATAATTTACTTCTTTTTTTGTTTGGTAACTATTCAGTTTCTTTATACACTGAATTCTGTTGAATTTATTGGTGCAATCCCAGCTAAGAGGTTCAATGAACGGGTGGCATTTGATGATAAATTACTCATGAAATCCCTTTACAAGGTATTGTATTGCTGATGACATTAATAAGTGTTCCCTGTTGATGACAACCATTTTGAGAAATTACTGCAGGTTATCATTCATATATCAGAAACTACTCCAATCATCGTATACCTACGAGACATTGAAAAGCTCTTATCTAGATCTGAAAGAATTTACTCTTCGTTCCAAAAGATGATGAACAAAATCTCGGGTCCGGTGCTCATATTCGGGTCAAGAATACATCTTCCCTCATATGATGAAGAGGGCCGAAGAGTAATTGATGACAAAGATGACAAGGTATCAGAGCTCTTACGATACAAGATAGAAGTAAAGCCCCCCAAAGATATGAGCAAGCGGGTGAAATGGATGCTTTCTGTAGTCCACGAGATGACGGTGATAAAAGCTCAAGATCATAGAAATCACATAGCTAAATTTCTTAATGCCAATGATATTGACTGTGATGATCTCGATTCAATATGTGTCAACCAAAACACTGAGATACTTAGAAGTAACATAGAGGAAATTGTGGTCTGTGCTCTCATTACCTGCTGAACAATACAGTTCCTAAGTACAGGAATGGAATGCTAGTTATTTCATCCGAAAGGTACAACTACAACTCATGTTAACATTCTTATAATTTATTTAATGGGAGAATTTTTATCTTTGATACAAGGAGGTTACAATTACTTACTATCATTCGATGTGAAATCTGATGGCTTGGGTGTATTAAAAAGTTCAAGAAAATTTCTTTTGAAGTTAGAGCTTGGTCAACGGAATTAATATAGCTATCCAATTTTACATCCAAAGATCAAGATTAATTGTGACCACATTATACCGAAGATAAATAGTCTCCTTATATACTTTTCCTATTTTAATTTATCATTATTTATGATATTATTATTTATGATATTGGTGTCGATAATGATGTTGTTGTCATTATGCATGTCTTGATGATGATGATCACAATTATCATTGCCAATTTCATGTGAAGTTTTTTTTAAAAAAATTGTTATTTGAAATTGGCGTGGACCAGTGTTCACTTCAAGGGGCATTTCAAGTGGCAATCATCCGTAGTTGTCATCAATTTATTGCGTGGCATTTGCCTAGTAATTATTGGACTTCATTTTTCTTTGACTTGTTATACATCTTTTTCTTTTTGCCATGAACAGTCTTGTACATGGACTGCATTTATTTCAAGAAGGTAAGCTCAATGAAAAGGATTCACCACAGACGGGAGCCAATTCTAAATCCCAAAAGGTATGCTCGATTGCAAATGCATAATTTTTTCTCATTGTTCAATTATAAAAAATTTAGCCAAACAGATACTTGTAGTGTAGATCTAAAATCTTTCTTTAAGTTCTCTTTCGTATAGGATTCACATACTTCCAATTCTTCCTCATCATCATTCAAGCCATATCCCTACTATTTTGAGTTGGTTACACAAATCACGTTCCATCATTCTGCTCTACCCTCAATAAGACTATAATTCACCATATCTTTTCTCATTACTTCTAACCATGGCCTTTTGAACATTCCCTTTACCCTTTTAGAGCTTTTCACTTGAACCAAATAGCACATCCTAATTGGTGTTATATTAGGCCTACGTTGCACATGGTAAGCACAACTAAATCTATATTTTCTCATCTTATCGCCTATTGAAGCCATATCTAAATTTTATCTAATTTATTTATTTCAAATTCTAACTTTTCTTGTCTTGTCACTCATCCATCTCAACATCATCATCATCATCATCAGCTACCCTCATTATACGGTATGTTGTTTATTGACCTTAAGTTTAGTCTTATTTACTATTACAATGTCAAGCTTTATAACATAATTGTTTTTTTACTGATAGCCTTGTGAACGTCATCACTTTACCACCAAGTTTTCTAATTGAAATTTATTTTCCCTTTAATCTCTATTAAAATTTATTTTGCCACTTTTTTTAATACAACGAACTATCTCATACCACATAATATTAACTTCGTGCTTAGAATTCAAATTTTTGTCTTTTATCAATTTACTTCTGTATTTTTTTTAAATCCCAACACGTAGTTCTTGGACACATTAATTTCATTCCTATTCCATCCTCTTACCCAAACATCCATAACCATCAGCCTATGTTGTATTGTCAAACTCCCTCATGGGACAACCTTACAGTCTTTATCGATCCACCTTAACTATCAAGAAGTCTATCTAGCTTTTATATAAGGAAAACGTTTATATAAGGATACAACTTTATAATGTAGAACTACGGATGCACCTCAAAAATCCATTGAAAAAGGTAGTTTTAATGTTGAAAAACCCTTTGATTGATCATCTCGACATCGAGATGTATGACCATGAAAAAAAAAAAAATTAAGTCTTAGAAATAGTACATTTTACAACATATTATCTACACCGTCCATTTTCAAGATTTTTATATGTTTATAGATCTACTTGATTTTAACCATTTTTGAAATTTAAAAATTTTATAATTAGATAT